AGCGGTATTAAGAGGCATTACAAAGCGGGGACACTTGAATGCGCGTCGAGGAGGGTTCTCTTCACTCTTGAAAAGAGCATCTGAATACCAGGAACCCCGTAGTACGCCCCACCCTTGACGTTATTATGAACGCCCTTCTTTCTGTTCCACGCCACTGTCTTCGTTTCTCTCTCTCTATCGCCCTTGTCGCCCGGTGACAGTTTCTTCTTCCTCTTCGCGCGAGGCACCCCCTGTTCGACCACCGAATACAGTTCGTACGCGTGTAAGCGCGTACGTGCACTTTCAATTGAGCTACGGAGAAACGGACAAATCGGCTTCACGCGCGTGTGTTTATATCGAACTTCGTTATTACAATGACCGTACTCTCATGCCCAGGCTCATATTTCGTTGTAAATTTGCTTACATGTGCGTAAGGGATTGGGTTATTAATTTACTCATTTATTTCATAATTCATCTTTTATGATTTAACCAATTAAACCCCGGTACCGAGCGGTTTCTTCGGTGGTAAAATTATTGACGCAAATTGAGATCAAAATTAGAGTAAACTAAAATTATCTGTACTAAAATAAAATATGCAGACGTAAATTGTTGAACGGTTTTGAAGATTTCCTGCTGTAAGCACAGAAATATAACGCATAATTTTCTATTCTCCGCTGTGAATCGAGGCGCGCGAAATAAAAATGCAACGCTAATATAAGCGTATAAAGCCCCCCGGGACTACGCTCATAGCGCGTAGCCGAAAAAAGAGGGTGAGAGAAGTTTTACAGGTTTCGCGTTACATCATTGTCACCCCGGAGTACCCCAATAGGCAGCTATACATGTAGGTAGGCGGTGAATCTGCGCACCAACCCCACGGAAATCCCCCGTTTACGTGTCCATGTCGTCATACCCCCTGTTAGAGGGTGGTTTTCAAACGATGAAATCGCCCGGACCACAACCAAGATTTATTCAATTAGAGTTGTCGTGTTCACACACACACACACACACACACACTCTCTCTCTCTTCCGATTCTTCCTGTCGATTATACAGAAATATAGCCGGACGCGAGCATTTTTTTAATGCGAAATCTTCACTTCGTCAGCCAGTGCGTCTCGATTCTCGAAACTCGCGTGAATCACGTTTACCATCCGCCGCTCTCGATCTCAATTTACTTCTGGAATGCCCGAAACGCACTGGAATGTTGCCGCGGCGAAAATTTTGCCGGTTCGCGCAGGCAGACCATTCAGATATTAGCCAGCTAATTCTTCGCCGCTACAACGTACGGAGATGACGTTTTCGCGGGGACGAAGACGAAACGCCGCATACGGCGATTCTTCGCGCTGACAGTGCACTCCTGTCAAGGCCGCGTCGCCTCGTTTTATCGGCTTATCAAGACATGGTCGCGCCGAGCCGTTCGTCCACGCTGTGGGAACTAAGGAATCATCGCGTCATACATCCAAGAGGCGTATTTATAGCTTCTCCAGGAAGGATCTCCTCGATGGGCCCATGTGCGAGGCTGATTATAGCGCGCGGCTTGCTGCATTGACTCTTTCCCGCCGACAGATAGACGTTTCGCACCGGATGAAACGGAAGTTTTATCGCAGGAAGTATCACGATTGTTTCATCAATTATAACATAATTTCTTCTTTCTCCTTTACGAATAAAATAATAGATATTTCGTAACAACGCGGAAAAAAAGAATTAGCTTCCACAACTAAAAACTTCCTTCCACAGGTAAAAATTAGCTGTCGATATAACACAACTGAAATTTAGTTAATTTAGCTAATTATTCTTAATTCTAAAATCTAGTTTTTAGCTCCCACGGTTAAAAACTAAGTCCGCTAATTTCAGTTGTATCGTTGGACAGCTAATTTCCTTTTCTCATGAACGAAATAAGAGATGACTTAGAAATAAAGACATCCGGCAAAAATATATATTTTTATTTACTTTTACTCCGTTATATTTATTTCACCTACATTTATTTATCTTTATTTCGTCGAAAATATAAATTTTTACGCGAAGTTAATTCTTATCGCGACCGTAATATTGTACATAAAATAAACGTTACGCACATACCGATGCATTTAAAACGCCGCGAGTTCAAGCGTGCGGCTTTTACGACTTTTGCAGAACGAAAGCGTTGCGGTATAAGATATAACAATCCGAAACCACCTAAGAAGCGCGTGACAAAAGCAAACACCGAGTCAAGTGCGTATTCTATTACCGTTTCAAGCTGTTTAGCGTCCGTTAAAATAATGTTGATTTTAAGATCCCTGCGGACACCTGCGCACAGGTACGACACCGGCGACCTGTCAAAATACGTGCGATTCATTACTTCTGAGCCCCGGGAGCCGTCCGCAGGGATGCTGTCGGCAGGTAGGCCGACTGTCATTGTACGGTGCTCTCCCAAATGGATTTTGCACGCTTCCGGCGAAGGTAGGTACTGCTACCTTTTTCTCGTGCTCAACGAGGTGTGAAGCGGCCGGCTGACAAAGATTCTCGACATCTACTTATCCGCGTGGATCCGCGCGGACACACGCGACCACCACAGCCGAGAAATCGCAGCAGATCGTCGAGTGAGAAAAAAATCGTCCGAATCGCTTCCTGCGCTCGTGCATCACCGCGCGTTTTCCCGAAGTGCATTTTAAGCGCGGCGAGATAATCCAGCCCGGGAAAGCGGGCGAGAATCGCTCATCTTTGGCCCGAACGATATTTCTCCCGGTATTTTCGCCGCTAACGAGTTCGAAGGCGATGAAAGGCACCTGCGCCGGCGACAGCGGCGACGGCGATTCGCCTGCAACCGCGCGGTCGTTTATTAACTCCAACCCCCCGGACGGTGATATCACGCGCGACATAACTTACGCTTGGACAGGGTTGCAAACTATATACACACACCGCGGGGATAACCGTACGTAACGACGCTAAGGTTATGGTGTTACGCGCGGATGGTGGAGTGGCACGGTGTCCAGTGACTCCCATGTCGGCTTGTTATCCGGACCGCCCCGTCGTTATCTGCAATTACCCCAAAACAGCCCCTAGTTTATAAATTATAGGCCACCCCCGTGCCCCGCGCAATAACCCCCCCCCCCCTTCTCACACCGCCCTCTCCGTCAGGCTCTGCGCGTCCGGCTTCCTCTTCTCCGCCTCCCCGCCGGTCGCCGACGGAACCGGCGGTACATCTGTCATCAAACGCAGCCAATTACGTTCAATTATTCCAGTCACCGGCGTGTCCGCCGCCGTCGTGTTATCGCGACGCGCGCGGTATCATCCGATGACGCGCGCGCGAAGAATAAATCCCCGGCCAATTAAGCGAAACTGTGCCGCGGTAATTGCTAATTAGACGCGTGCCGGCCGATTACAAGTCGCGCGCGCGCGCGAGTATCGATCGGCGAATGCGCGCGAACTTCCCCGTCGGCCTCGAATTATTTGTTTTCCCGCGCGCGCGACGTCCTTCCGCCAAGTTTTTCTCTCCGCGACTTGGCCTGATTATCAAGCGGAAAACGTAAGTGGAACGGTGTTACGGGATTGCAGTATTTCTTTGCAGCGCGTACCGCCGACGTCACGTGTATTATTTTCTAAATCGAAAGTTACACGATTCTCGGCTTTATAACGCCAGAGGCTGAAAATCGCAGAAGTAATTCTAGTTACAGTTTTAATGATAAGGTTGTCACGGCTCTGATTGTAATAATTTCGATCTTATATATACGTTGTGAAGGGCTAAAAATTTTTTAATGCTAGAAACTTGAAATCGAGGGAACGGCACTGTACAAAATATACACGGTACCAAATATTGCGTTACAAACGGGCCTAAATTTACAAATGAAATATTTGGCTATAACACATTTCTGAAACGAAGATGAAAAAGGTTTCGTTTCAGAGAACCAAACCTTCGGTTTAGAGAACAACATTTTGGCCCTCACAACTAAAACATTTACTTGTCTGTCCGCGGATTCGCTCGACTTGGCGTTCGATTAGATATTAAATTGACGGAACGATCATATCGCGACGATTTCCGCGAGAAAGAAAGAAAGAGAGAGAGACGATAATCCTCGCTGAGACGGGAGCAGCGATTTTTCCGATTCTCCGCAGGCACCCGCAGGCAGGCGGACGCGCAAGGCCGGGATGCTCTCGCGGACGGCGACAATGCCGTCCTGCGCGCGCCATTGTCACGAGAGATTTCAATGGACATTGCGACAATGAGCCGTTGACGACGGTGCTGCGCGCATTGCGCAAAGGGCCGCGCAGACCGCGCGCTCCCCTCGCAGACTAGCATAAGCCTGCTTGACTGTACTTTTCACCGCCCTTTCCACAGCGCGAAATTATTATGTCTCCGACCCCCTCGACCGTGTACGCCAAATAGACATCTGCTTTCGGAAGGCGTAAATATCCACGAATATAAAGCGGAACGCGATTACGAGAAGTACATTTTGCTCTGCCTCGGTATTCGCGGTATTACCGTCTTTTGTAGAGCGCGTGGGCCGCGACGTTTGTGACATCGATCGAATCGTGGGGATAATTCGCAGAGAGGATACTTGCCGAATATTTTCATAAATATCACGGAAATCATGGTATTCAGTCAGCGACGATATTTGTTGCAAAATTAAAGACGAAATGACTCTATAATTAATAATTGTTATGTAAATAAGTTACTGTATAAATTTATTAGATTATTATAATGGGACGAAATTATTAATATCAAAGTTTGAAGAAGACAATGGAGGAAAATCAGGTCTTCAGCTGTTGCCGCGCCTCTTGGTCGCTTTCGCTCTCATTTTAATGAATACTCAATCCTCATTATACAACTTGCGTTTAATAAGGTATTATTATTATTATTATTATGTTACTTTCTATACTTAAAACAGGCACACACATATTGCACCCTTCATAGTATGGATTTAAAACTTCTTCAATCGACAGGCTTATTTAAAGTCGAATTCAGCAGAGGAACGACCAGTTTCTTGCGTCGATCCAATGGCGCATCGGAAGAATTTGTTATTTATCACATCGCAGGACAGACGAGTGAACTTGTATAACAGCCTTTATTTGATCGATATGATACAATTTTAGGAGATGTATGTCGCTATATTACGTGAAACCGGGATCCATCTCCCCGTTATCGGTCCAGGCGGTAACGAGTTGTAGTAATAATCGTTAGACTTAACGCTGCGGCTATAGGTCAAGCGATATGATTCATAATTTGACGTCATTTCACCGTGAGACGCCGCGATTCGACGGCCAACGTCATCGTGCGTCGCCTTCTCTTCGCAGTTTCCTCGAAGGAAAGGAGGAAAGGAGAAGCACTACGTGTAGATTGCAAAACGACTGCCAGCCGTCGAACCGCGTCGATACGAGAGCCGCGAAATCGCGCCGCTTATCCACTTAATCACTACTGCCCGTTAATATACCTATAGTAAGATTGACTTTAGCACAAAAATACATTTTCGTAAATTACAGCTAGACCTTTCTCGTGTTATTATCACGGTACCGCGAGCATGCGTGACTTTCGTCCGATCTTTCCTAGTACCAGCTTAGGTCTTGGAGAGCGATGCGAAAGAAAGGAGCGACGGGGCTAAATTTGAAAGAATCGTAGTAAAAACTGAGCCACGAAAAACTTTTATACAGGACGTCTGTCGTTAAGTGTCTCATTCGTCATATAATTGTAGCTTGAATTAACGTGAACAAGAATGTTCTGTATCATTTTACAAACAAATACGTAAACTTTTGAATTATTCCCTGGTAGAAATTTCATGCATTTTTTCAGCAGTTGCTGGACATTATATTAAATTCTGTCTGATAACTGATGAGTTAATCCACTTGGCATCTCAATCGAGATGAAATGTTTCCTGCAATTACTGCGCGCAAAAGATACGCCAACTCTGAACTGCTGAACGAAAGCAGGACAATAAATTGACAAAAAAGACTGTTCAGTTGATTAAAATTAGACAATAACCGGGCAGGTGACTGCGGTAACCACATATATTTTTACTACAGGAAAACTGCTTCAAAAATTTCATCGAGTTCTTGTCTACTTCCTACACAGTATTGTCACAACTAATGAGAATGCATTAATACTAGACGGTGACTGAATGAGTGTCTAGGAAAACTGCATACATTTATACCAAGATTAATAAAAGAAGACAGGAGAAAATAATCATGCGCGACGCGGCGAAACGCGAGTGGAGGATGGCATGATTATTTTCCTCTGTCTTCTTTAATTAATAACTGAAAACACTTTGCGCGGTCGTTTGCAAAATGGTGCAGGAATTTGTATTCGCATTGACCTAAGCTACAAGTATATGACGGATGAGTCATCGGATGATGATCGGTCCACCTTCGCGTAAAATTTCCTTTCTCCACTGCTAAACCGAGAGGACCGCTCGGTTAATCGCTCTTACTCCAAGGTAACGAGGAAGATCTGTCGAGGGCAGATTCTTCAAGTCCCGCCAAGATCCAACGAATAGCCACGATACTCGCACAACACTGCCGGCCACATTTACCAGTCGACAATGACGATACGTCTTGGAAATACGATATACGATATCCGTAATATATATATTTACACATGAAGTAACTTTAATATGCACTTGGAAGACAGAGGTTTATATGTTATGCATATATCGATATAATGTAAGTTTCTCTCCTCGTATATGTATCTATATATATGTGTGTATATATATAATTTATGTATATATTTATATGGTGTGCATGTGGGCGCGTGGGAATGTATAATCTTATGCACACGCACGCGCGGACATGCGCGTTTTACACACTTAGGTACGCGCCACAACTCGCTCGTAACTATTATTTATCGCACGCCATCGCCAGCGATCAGCCACCTCCGATGTATGTAAATGAACTGCCTTTCGTCCGTTGCCACCGTATCGTATTCAGCGTGATACGCCTTGTACAAGTGATCAAATCACACACAAAACAGCGTAATAAAATTCGAACGAAAGTTTGCGCGGATCCGACGACCCCCCGTGAAGAAACGTCATCGCGCCACGAAAATCTAGTCGAGGTAAATCAAATCGCGAATTCCTAACGAGCGCGAGTGGATGTATCTACAAAAGGGGTCTGAAGTATCGTGTCGAATGGAAAAGTGGAAAACTTTTGCGGGAAGAGCGATCGAAAGAAACTCGCGTGTGGTCGACGCCAATCGCCAAATCGTACCTGTGCGATTAATTTAATTAAACTCCACACGTGATATATCGTAACACGTGTAACAAAGTTTAAATATTTATATCGACTATCTCGATGCCCTACCGTGTATTAAGAAAAAAAGGAGTATCGCCGCTTGTAGATGCCTGAAAAGTACTAGAATGTTAGTAAATTTCCAGTAATTTCGAATAACTTTTATATCCGACCGACAATCCCGTCCGAGACCTAACATCGTGGACTTCGTAGTTCGCACTACTTTTCGCAACACTAACAATAGCTTTCGCTTAAAGTCCGGGGCATGTAAAAGTGGATATTTAATAATAAAAATGTATGTAATATGGGTTGTTTCAAATTAGAAACTTGGTGTACTTAGAAAGTCTGAGGAGAACCGGCAGGTACGCGTTACACGTTCGTACAATATATATTCTTCCGCTATTAGAAAAATATTATCGCGCACCAGCATCAAGCGACGGCTTTTAACGACCTTTCTTTCTCGATACACGTGTGCGCTCGTGTACTTAAACGAGATATATCGCGCGACACCACACACGGAATGATAATTTCAACGAAAGATCATCTCACCGTGGCGTGTGCGCAACGTCACTCTTACTTACGGAGACCAGATGGTGCAGTAGCATCTGAGATCGATACATTCGTGGAAATAGTCCGAAGAAGATTTTAAAAACAGACTCGAAAGAGAGAGAGAGAAAAGGAGATATGTAAATTACACGATTTCCCGATTTCCTCGTATACTATCGCGAAATCAAGCGAATGACTTGTACGAGAATGAAGCGCGAGCCGGCTCGGATCACGATTCATTTCCACTCAAGACACAAACAGTAACGTACGATGATTAACTGATTTAATTCTATATTTACAGGCTAAGTACCTCTTAGACTTAAATGGATTTCGCAAATCGAGAGCTTACGAGGCTATAACGCTATAAAGAGTAGTAACGTATAGTCGAGTAAACGAATGAATCGATAGTAAAAAATCGCGAACGACCTGTTAATAAATTATAGTTCGAACGCTATGTACAAGTAATTATAAGGCGTCACACCGAAATGTTATCAACACCTTTATTACACCTAGCCACCCGTTACGCGTCTAATCTTTAGCTGCCAAGAAGAAGGGCCTTCTCACGTTCTCCGAGGCGTGTTTACAGCTCGAAATCTTTTCGACATGGATTAGTGATCGATGTAAGCCACAGGTGTGACATTCGCACCGAGAGCAGATATGTCGTGATATTTCTTCGAGGGAGGAGGAAATGCTACACGCTTATTACAGCCCGAAGTTACGAAGTCGAGGAAAGAACAACTTAATCGTCCGATTGCGTGAATGCAAAACACTGCGAGACGCCAAAAAATAGATCTCTCGTGTATATTCTAGAAAATTATGCAAAATTCAAGGACCTCGCGATCAATCCCTGCGACGGCGTGATACACACACAAGTAACACGTTTAAAATGTTCCCCTCCCGGTGATCGTGCGCGCGTCCGACGACGCGTGGATCCACGAATTAGAAAGCCTATCGATACAACCATCCGAGTTTGCGATTACGACGATGTCGTATTTGTTCTTTTTTTTTTCCATTAAATTGCGAACGAACGAACGAGCAAACGTATATCGTTGACACATTCCCGACACTGTGCACAATTGACAAACGTGTCGCGCGTATATCAGCAGCGAAGTCCCGTTACGCACCGTCGCCGACGACATTTCCGTGCAGGACGACGGCACTCACGGCCATGTGAATCGATGACCTGTCTAGTTCACTGTTATTTATAATTATGCATTAGTTACGCGGTTTGGTGACGGATTTCTAATTATAAAATCGACAAACGACGCTGCGGCGAGCATTACGAATGTCAAGACGGTTCTGCCTCCTCTGTACGGGCAACAAACAGTCTCACGTGAATGAGATGACAACCTGTGTGTAAAAGTAATATATATTCCCGGAGATATGTAATTGTCGTTAAAGTATCTTACAAGAGCGTCGAGCTCGGAGCAACGATGCGGGTTTACGACGTGGGACGACGGAATCGCGATGTCAGCCATCGATATTGCCTTCGTACGAGGAGACTATTGCTTCCTTCAATGTGACTAAAGAGTACTTCAGGTACGCCCGATCCGTTACACCCGCGCATGCAGACCGCATGCGAGACCTCTTAGAAGTGTATCGCTCGCTAAATGAGTACGTTTATGATAGAATCTCTCGGATATGTATTTCTCAGATATGTCTATCTACGGTTCTTCTAATGATATCTCGCCTGACACGGAACACGGAGCCTACCCTAAACGTCGCCGGATTTCGTGTGACTCAAGCTAATCTGGTCGACTCGTCTCTTGTGTCTCTCTCTCGTGGATAGTCAGTGCGTGTCAGTCCCGAACAATTGGAAATCCATCGATCCTGTTGTTGCGTTCGTGTGTCCGACAGAAGAGAAAAGTCCGACCGCGCGAGGCGACGACGAACCCTCCTCAGAATGGATCGACTAGCGCATTGAAAGGGAAATTCTACGAGCCCTAATCACGAATCGAGGTCGGTTTCTTTTGATCTCTCTCTTCCATGCTTCTTTGGCGATACATGTTCTTTGGCATCGTCAGCGACAGTGACCTTGGTTCGCTTACTCCATCGTGTCGTATTTGACTTTCTTCACTTTGAAGTATCGATAGGCCGCGTAGCCGGTGATCGTCAGGAGGACGGCTGCGGCCAGTGTGGAGCCGACCGCGACCGGAGCGGTTTCATCCCTGCTGGCGCGAGCGCTCAGCGCGGTGCACGAAAACTCGACGGCGAAGTCGTTGTTCTTGAACTTGAACGGCTGTAGCTTCATGCTTCTGGAATTTCGCGTATCATTCTGCCGTCAGTGACCTCGTGAAAGTCTTCTCTGCGCGCACGGCTCGGCGGACTAACGTTATATCGAGTCGAGAGAAGTTCGGTTCGACTTTCGATAATTCTTCGACGGTGAACCATTCATTTCCACTGAATGGAGTGAAATTGACGGAAAAGTCGAATCGAACTTTCTAAGTGACCTGATAATATTACACTTGAAGAAAAAGTGCTACTTTCAAGTAATGTTCACTTCGTCCAAGTAAAATGGTGATTCTAATACTTCTAGTATATCAATTAATAGTATATTAATTTTGCGTGAATTTTGAGCGTTACTCTTCAACATATTCGTCTTGTGTGAAATTATCGCTTGGGATACGTGAAATGTGTTAAATTCAATACAAAATTTGATACTGTGCGTAAGGACGGCTTTACCTGAGCAACACGCTGGCGTTGTTCTTGCCGTCGGTCAGCGGGATTGCGGTTTCGTTGGAACAAGAATACGACTTCCCGACCGGCGTGGGGAACAGCATGGAGCTGTGCCTCTGGCCGGTGCTCAAACGGATGGTTTTGTCTGGAACATCATCAGTGAAATGATTAATTTAACGTCTGCGTGAATGCTCTCTCACGTGAATTAATAAAATTAACACCGGTCACCGTGCCACTCACTCGGCTGATCGATATGCTTGAAGTGTTTGTCGCTGGAGTTATAGGTCAATTCGATTTTCTCGACGTACCAGCGCTCGCCACCGGGTGTCTGCAAAGAAAAAGTCGCGCTTCTTATCGAGCGTCTCCGGGAAAATCCCCCGGGGTCAAGCATCCCTCCACTTTACGTTTACGTGAAAATTAAATCGCGCTGGCGGATCAAGGAAAGACAGTTTCTCAGAAGCGCGCGCGCGCGCTTGTATTCGCGTGCTCGACTTTTATCACCGCTTGTTGGACGTGATTTTTTTACAAGGCAACTACGTGTTACTCCTGATGGAGCGTTTTTACCATTTATACGAGTACACACGCCGTACCTACCGCTCGAAGTATAATCGTGGAATATCGTGATAGCTGCCGGCACGCAATCGACTATATGAAGGTGAAAATCGTGAATGGACTATATCTCAGTAAAAGGGTCACGTATCGATTTTCGCAAAAAGCAGCCCCGTGCCTGGCAATTCGGATGATTTATCCTTCAGATAATTGCCCCTCCTGCTGCGAACTTATCTCGCGGCGCAGCTGGATATCGCGAGATCGGGGGAAAAAAAAAGAGAAAAAGAGCGAGAGAAATTACCTTAGCGAAACTCCATGACAGTACGAAGGCCTCCCATTTCAACGACATCGTCACCGTGTTCTCGTTGTCGCAATTGCCGGTCACGGTCGCGTCGTCAGGTACGTAGATATTCGCCGGCTATAAATTTCAATGAGAACGCGATTACTCGTTAAAATAATTGTAGGATGAAATGAGTCTTTCAAGTTTCACTGAAATTTGCACTATATATACACTATATATACTAATATAGATTTAAATATGACCTATTATTGGCGCAATTAGAAAGCGATTGACCATTTGGAAACTGGGATATTCGCAACTAAAGATGACACTTTTTATATCACTTTTCATTTTTTGACGTCTTATTATTAACTTCTATTTTGAATTTCTATTTTGAATAAATTTATACTTATACTCGCGACATATTTACATGCACACATATTTAAATATTTATATATTACTTTCCATTAACTCAACTGATGTATGAATAAAACATTAGTGAGAAAAATAAAAAATAATATTTTTGTATTCGCAATATTAAATGTGTATTTATTTTAATTTCACTCAAAATTAACATTTATTACTTAGAGACCATCCAACAATTACGTTACATCGCGAGGGGGAAGGGTCCATTAACTTGCGTAACGGTCTGTGATGCGAAAGAGTAAAGGTAATGGAACGTCACATTAAATGGCATATTTGTAAATATGAATGCACGTGATTATCCACTTTGCATTCGTGACGCATTCGGTTATATTTGATGAACACTTTTCAGTTTTGACATAATTTTGCGTTAACTCAAAACTCTCCATTACAGTTACTTGAATTCATTCAGTCGCCTAGGACAATTTCTATCCCTCTCCCCTCGATCCTTCTAATGAAATTAATTATTAGTGATTCTTACTTCACTCTCGCCGTATATCGTGCGATACTTGACGACGATCAGCGCGTCCACTTGAAGAAGAATGCAGGCTTGTCCGTTGCTGCCGTCCAGTCGATACAGGGGTGTGAAGGACGACCTGTGCGTGGTCGGCGTTGTCGAGGGCATGGTCGTGGTCGTTTTAAGTTCGGAATTGACTATCGCCTTAAAAAGACGATAAACACGGCGACTATCAACAATGGTTACTCACGGATCGACGACGGAATGTTTCAAAGAGGCCCGCCATTATCGGGAAAAATAGCCACGTGAGAATTTTGATTCACTACGTAAATAATGGAAAAGGTAAAAAAAAAAAGAAAGAGAAGAAAGTCGCTCGCGCGTGATCTTCGTGTTTCCCTGGTTTATCAAGATACAAGGACTCGAAGTAGCTTCCGCTCGCGAACGAAGTAACCTACCACGGAAATTTCTTGCGGAGAAGGTCACCTGTTGGCATAATGTACGTAACGAGCTGTAAGACGGCAACTTTTTTTTCCCGCACGTTACGAGTTGTGTTAATACAAGAACATGTCTAACGCGTAAAGTCGCCGTCGTAACGTGTAAATCCGTACGCAACGCTGGAAGCGAGCGCTCGGAATCGACTGTGAGTGTCAATAGTAAAAGTTCCTGTCGCAATGACGCAGTGCCTTTGTACGTCGTGACGTCATGTAATAATACGACGTCGAAATGTCAAGGAGTGTGATAAAATCAGCCACCGGCCGGTTCATTAAAACCCGTTACTCGAGATGGATTCGCACCGTAAACACCGTCGGAGCTGCGTCTGCGTTTTGCAGAGTTTCCGTGGTACTTAATTCTTATTCGATAATTGTGATTCACCGGGTGCGATTTCTCTCGTCTGTTGCGATGAGAAATAACCGAGCGCCGTATATAGAACGCTTTTATGATTTTATATCACGACCGTGGGATTTAACGCTCGTTTAAAGTTTATTCTCCGAAATAACAGCACGGAACGCTCGAGGATGTGGAGGAGGAGAAGGAGGAAAAGAGAAAGAGAGAGAAAGAGAGGGGGTTGAAAAAGAGAAACATTAATGCAAGTCTGTGCAAACAAGCGGCCGACACGTTGAAAATTTTATCGGTCGTCTAACATGCCTAAGTGCACTTACAAGTACGCGACTTCGCGGTATCACGATATCCGCCCCCGCTCTCTGAACGACATCCCTCCTTCTCTCTCTTTCTCTTTCTTCTTTTCACGAAAGGAGTATTTCGTTACCTTCGGTTCCCTGCGAACTATCTCGATCGCCGTCGCGGCGGTATATCGTGTCAGTAAAATCTTCGCGCCGCGCTCGTAACACGGTGGTGGCATTTACTGCCGGAAGTTATAGTATACGACTATCGCCGCGACGATGAAACATAAATTGCATGACGCGTATCATCCGGCGGAATATTTGCACAGCAACAGGCTACGTCCAGCGTGTACACGATAAACGAGTTAGCATGAGGGATCACGCTAGATCGATCGATCGCCGCGGGACACACCGCTGCCACTTCGACGCAGTTTCGACGCGAATCTGGCCGATCCAGAATTGGGGGGACATGTAAGAATTGGGGGGACATGTAAGAATGATAAAAAAATATTTACAATTTTGTCGCATTTTTTTTTTAATTATCTTTACATTAACGAAGCGTCTACCGCGGCAACGTTAACAGTACGATGAAAGAAGGTGTTGCTTATATATTTCGTTATAAAAAATTATCATCGCATTGCCGCGAAAAGTGCAAACGGAAAAAGATTAGTCTTAAATCAATGGTAGATATTCTCATGTATGAGCAAAAACATTTCAATCTTTTTAGGAGATTTCATTTGGATTTCATCGAATTTGTATCGATGTAAGGTATTACTTGCACTCAAGTTCAGGACTAAAAATCTTCTAAGAATGTTACAATATTCTTGCTTATGCATGAGAATATCTATCATTGGCTTAAGACAATTTTTCTTCTGTGCGGAGAATATTTTTACCTTTGGAATTTTTAAATCCAGTCATTTCCATACGAGCTTCTTATTAAGTCGTGTATTTTGTGTACTTGTGAGACAGAGGTTAATGTCAACTTTAGATATTAAAACGCGAGGTGGGAAAATGAGACGAGGGGTGGAAGAAATAGGGCCAAGGCTGCGCGTAAAACTTCAACCGATATAAAGTGAGGGCGACGTACAAAAGTTTCGATAAAATTGACTTTTATGAATTCCGCGCGATATCATGTATTACGGCGAACACACGATCGCCCGATCGTGTTAACCTCTTCTCGCAGTCTTGAGGGTAGAGTGCGGCGGACCTCGTGGAGGGCGTGATTTTCGAAATTTCCTGAAAATTCACGCGGCAATCGCCGAACCCGTAACTCAATTCGACGCCGCGGGTAACCCTTCGTTGCGTTTAATTAGTGAATTTCAGCCTTCAGGTGAAATAAGCGCCGTAATAAACGGTAACGCGATTACGCGGGATTCACGGTGTAGCACGACATATGTAGGAGTGGTCACCGCCCACTGTAAGGACATTAGAGCGTGTAGATGTATACACAGATATGCACGACCCGACTTGCAAATCCTCTCCCTCCCTCCTGCGAATGTATATTATAGTATTCCGTGAACCCATTTAAGTAATTACTTCCACGTACACACAACGAATATACTTCGTTCGTATTTCTAAAACGTTGCGCGTCGAAAGGGTTACCGTGTACGCACGTACGTCTGATTCGGCTGATCTCGCGGTTACAGGCAAACTGATACTGAAAAACGGCTGCCGATTAGCGCCTCTCTCGATGGATGATAAAATATCGCGGGGAAAATATTTGCCGATAAACCCGGATGGATTTTTTTGATCGTTTGAAAAATCAGGACGTATAAAATATTTGAGCGTTTGTAAGAGAGACCTCGAGGAATGTGAGGAACATGGTTACAATATTCGCGTGACGGATGCGAGTGTCGGAAAAGAGATGTACTTACCAAAGGCGACCTCGTCCTTGAAGTAGGCATCTCTACGTAGACTTTCGGCGTCCTCCGTGTGGTGTAACGTTGCTCATCCACTTGTCGTGGCATCGACGAAGGGGCAGGAACACTGAATACAATGCCCGAGACACACCCTGCCAAAAAATATTTCGGTAAAATGTCATAATCGCCGTTACACGCTACAGTACATGCAGCGTGTCGAACATTTGTCTCGTCGAAATCGATAACAGAGAAGTCCTTTGTTATCCTTTTAAATCGACATAGTAGCCAGCTAGGCTTTTACACCACCGAAATGAAAAATAAATAGCGAGGAGACTGAAGGCGTGTTCGTCCATATATTCATTGCCAATATTGAAAATATATAATTCATGTTTCGTGTATTATAGATTTTTAGTACTGGCAGTGAATACACGAGCACAGTCTGACACAAGCGGGCGAAATAAAAAAATCGATCATCCGCTTCTTTTTTTATATTTGTGACGTATAATTTAATTCGCCCCGGGGATAGATGAAACACCGCTCCGTTAAATCGAATAAAAATTAATCGACCGCAGAGCGTCGAAGAATGTTAAGAAAGTTCGCCGATGAATCGCCATCCGACCGTGCAAAACTTTCGCGAACGACCGTGCGATTTGCATAAGTGAGTTTGCGAAACTCTCGCGGAAGATGCGCGGCTGCATTTCTCACGTCTCGAAGCGGTCTGATCATTCGTCTTTCTGTTGACGATGTTCACGTAGCCAGCGCGCTGCTATCTGCGGTTCCGTCATAATCATATCACCTGAGAGTTGCCGGAAATAGCGAGAAAAACGATAATCCGTGGATATCCCGCCGATTCCGGCGAGCTAAACGTACGAGTGTACGAATTCCGAAAGCTCAACGCGCGATCGATTCCAATTCGCAATTGGTGATGGATTTGGGGCACATTCCGAACGAAAGGTTTTCCGAATCTCCGGTTACCGACTTTCGGCGCTTTTCAACCTTTCGACGCGACCTACGGTGTGGGCGCGTATGGTAAATGACTCTCCTCATCCTTCGTCACTCTCTCAGTTTCACGCGTATTCTCATTCTTTACCTCAGCCGTAATCACCGGTCGAAAGGCGCATCGCGATAATTACAGCTCGTCGTGTAGAATTTCTGCTTGAAATTGCATCTCTCCTTCAAAGGTTAATGGCGCGATTCTGTCGGATGTGCGCGAGTGACGAAACGATCGACGAACGTTTTCGTCGCGCTTTTCGCGAGAGAAAAGGCACATCGTTTCCGAAGGGAAGTCGCATGAAGAGAGAGAACTCACACAACAGGAAAATCGCCTTGAGGTATTCGCCGCGACGTGCCATGGCGTTTGCCGCTCTCGCTGCTGCTGTCGCTCGCCGGTGCACCCTTGACGGCTGACGGAAGAACGAGGGAGTCGTACGCGGAAATGAAATCGCAGCCGATCCGGTACGTATTCCGCTCTCGTACGGGACGGGTTGCGGTCACTGGCGACGTTCGCGAGGCTTGTGAAGGAGAAGCGAGAGAAAGCTCGGGGGCGCGGATCGATCGATAGCGGGGCTTTCAGCATGCGCTACTACGCGGCCGCCGCTCCATACAACGTGGGAAAAGCACGGCTTCCCCGTCGGTGACGTCGGCGTCGGCGTCGTCGGTGCCGTTCGTCGTGGTTCTCATCGCCGTCGTCGTAGTCGTCGTCGTCGGGGTTATCGTAGACGACGGATCTGTTCATTCACATTACATGCGCCGGATATGTGCGCCACGATTTCACCCGGCACGCGCTTCTGTATCGCGGGGTTGTGTAAATGACCAAGGTGGAAGCGGAAAGTTTCATCACGCTCCCGATTTCTGTTGCGCTAGCGAAGTTGAAACCTTCGATTTATTATCGCGCCCTTTCCGAGCCTCGCCACATCTCGAGGAATTATCCTCTACCGGGGGAAATAAATTGGCAACGGGAGAATAAATCTCCGCTCGTCGTTCGGTATTTTTCACAACCCCTTTTCCCTGCGCCCCGGAAATGTTATCTTTAATGCGGCACGCTCGACAGATTCGTTTTTGCGTAATTTCTTTTCTGCAACGCCGTTGTATTTTGCAGTAGCTCGCGTTTGAACGGTCTTAAATGAAGTGTACGGTTCATTTAGCCTTCTCAAATTTATGCCTGAAGCCATTTTCATCGTCATTGACGCTATTTTTACATCAACGGCTCATAGAGTAATATCTTAACTTGAGCAATAAAACGAGTTGAATCCTCCACCAGCATCGTTAATAACCTGGGACTTTGAGGGTCAGTGCAACTTTTCACACTGTTCATGACTGTATAAAAATGTATAAAAATCTGAAAAAATTCTCGTACATATATGGAGGCTTTAATGAAAAATTTTTTCATCGTCAGATTTGTACCAGAAGTCGAACTATATTTTATTGATTCTTTACAGATTAAAATCGGAACAGAAACATCGAAGAGAGGAATGTGATTTTGACTAAAAATTTGACTAAAAATTCGTAACTGAATAAATGAGTGAATATAAAAAAAAATCCTTTTAGACTATAATATTTAAAGGCATGTACTTTGGAAAAAATAGTATAATAATGATGGCTCTAAAATATTAAATTATTTGGACATTTGAAAATGAAGACGATTGTAAGGAAGAAAATTAAGTTTTATTCGAGAAAAAGAAGCAATAAAATTATTTTCACAGCACATTAATGATTAAATGTAATTTATTTTTATCAAAATTATATTTACAAACCGCATATTCTAAATGTCTTTATTAGAAAAACAATGAACAACTAGACGAATAACTAGATATTGACGTTCTTACACACATATAATCGTATTATTCCTAAGTTTATATAGGAGGGAATATAGAACTTCTATCTATCAGTTATCTTAAAATTCACAATAAAATCATCTATGCCTCTAAGCTCCAAGTTGCTGACAGAAGGTTAAAGAAGAAAGATGCACATCCCGGTGAAATATTATTCAGAGCACGTTTCGAAACGTCTCTAATCATAAACAGCCGGCGACAACGTGATAATTCGCGCAAGCTCGACGGTAACTTCCATCGGTTTTTTATTCCCACTGCTGCGGACGACAGCGTGATGCAGTAGGCGCGGCAATATGGTGCAACGAGGCACACTCGAGGGTCGTATTTCGTTGACCTAACACGTGGGCGGCTCATTACCTGAAAGTTCGAACAGCCGTCGAATCGCCCGAATTTTTTCTCGAATTTCTCCTGGCAAGCGTAAGAAAATTTTTCAAAGGTCTTACGGTGCTCCAATGCACATGCCGCACATATACTTGCACGAAGGTATCGAGCAGAAGGGCAAAACATTTCTGCCATCACGTAGAAAAAAGAAATCGAATACACACGTACATACAGTTTGTAAGAATTGCAATGCGCCAATATATTATAATTGCAGCACTATATGCTTCTCCGATCTACTATGCCGCATTCAAATGTCATACATTTAGCACGACAGATTTCTCGTTTTTCCTTCTCGCAACGCTCGTGTTTCACGTTAACTGATCTTCATTTAAATAAAGAAATTACAAAATAACATGCCAGACTAAATTCGAACGTGGTGTAAGGAAATTGGCAGGCGAATCGTGGTATTACGTGATTGTCGAGCGTGTCATAAAACACCGCGCGTGACTCGCGTGTGTCAAAATAACATTCTTCCTCTTCCTTCTTTTTTTCTTTTTTTTCTTTTTTTTTTTTTTTTAATAATGACGTGAACTATACATTGGCCTGATATATTCGACAGCAATGTAAGGATGAATATTTCCCGCATTTTTCGTATGGCTATTCTCAACAAAAAATAGACGAGAGTTCGCGTGACCGAGCCAAATTTTCAAACGCAATCCTCACTGCGGATAGATGAAACGTCAATTTCGCGTGAGAGGTGTTCGCGCGAATGTGTCTTATCGTATTCGTCCGCTTAATTTCGTTCGGATTTTTCCTGCAGGACCTCCATAGCAAACTATTATCATACGGTCTTACAGGAGTCTTATCCGATTTCCGTACTTCAAGTACGGCCCAAATAAGTTGTCGGCCCGTAATCAGGAGCGAAACGCACTGTTGCAGTTTCTCATCAAATTGCACATATTAAAGGAACCTGATTAGATATACCTAACCGCCGCATTAGGCTTCCATAATGACGTCATCGCTTATTAGGTAGGTAAGATCCGGGCCTTTACAGGTAAATGCCAGATTAAACTTAGTTCGAAATATTATTTAACTTATTTCAACTACTATTGCCAAATTCGAGTCTTATAAAAGCCACCCGTTAAAAAATATTTCATACATAATCGTATATAAATATATACAACTGTGTATAATTATACTAAATTACGTATGACATTTTTCCATACATAATTATTTAATGTTAATATTATACATCATTATGCATGATCAGACGTGATTAGATATCATTATTTTATTGTATATTGTATATGTATATTTATACATGATTATGTGTGAAATATTTTTTAACGGGTATTTATGACGCTCTACCACGATGTACTTTTTACGATTATACCTTTATCAGGTACGACAATTTGTCGTATTTCTATTTGGGACGAGCATCCTGGTGTTTTGGCGAAAATGGCACGGTTCAATCTATTCGGCAGGATGGTAAAGCGCAGAGTCGGTGGCATTTACGTGCCAGCAACACTTCGCAGCAAATGCGCCGGACTATAGTCTATAGAATGGGTTAACGTCTCCCCTAAAGGCACGTTGTCGCATGAACGCCCATAGACGGGGGGAGCACACCCACGCGAATCTCGATTGATTCCAATTTCGGCCGTAAAGAAAACTTCTGCCATTCTCGTCTGGTGCGGTATCGCTGTAATTGGACGGAGCGGATAGCTATGCATGGCATATTAGTCTGCGCGCAGATTAGTGTGCTATTTTGCGACGAGGGAGCTATATTTAGATTCGGAGCTTGATTTACCGGGGCGATATTGATCTGTTACTACCGACGACGATCAATTGCGTTGAGAGTTAAGCGGCTACCGGCGCTGCTTTTTTTATCTTAGCGATCGTATCCTATCGTTCTTTTTTCGTACTCGTGAGAACTGATAAGGGAGCTTGTCCACTTAAGAAAGTATTTATTGAGACGGCGCTGTATCGCATATCGATAGAATTTCTATACTTACAATCACGTTACCTCTATCTTGTTGCACTAATAATATTATCTTTTAATTTTTCACCGTGCGCTCTTTCATACATGTGCACCGATGATTGAATTATTATACATTCACGTAAATCCTTCGTCGAGAGAAACGTTTCTGGGAAATTTTACGTTTTTCTCAGGGGATCCATCCAATTACGGGAAACGATATTACCATCGTGTAATTATTATCCGCATGAAAGACAGCAGTTCTCCGAGCTGCTGTCAGATGACATCTCTCGTACGGACAGCGCAGCACGAAGCGAACCGTCACCGCGAGATGGCAACGGTTGCCTCATTGCCGGCTCCTCGGAAGGGCAGCAGTCATCGCCGGTTTCCGTGACCGCGACACGGAGAAACGAGCAAAACAAAAATATTTTGTCGGAATTCGAGAACTTATCGCAGTTTACGGTCAAACGGGTGCAAGGTGTGCGCGTTGATACTTTGTAGCCCGCGTGAACGGATCGTCATTGGCTGACAGGGCTCTTCTTTTGTCCTTAAGTCATTCAATGACAAGGATATGCTGGCTCTGAAAGTAAGAGACAAGAACGTGCAAAGTCGTGCGTAAGCTCTGCCGAGAATTGCTTTTGGTTTCTAGGCGACCGTCGCTAATTGCATCCTCAAACGTTCCCCTCAAACCCTTTGGAGTTTTTTACCGAGAACGAGCTTGTCCGCATCGATCAAACTCGAAGGAAAGATGTCGTTTGAAGAAGAGAAAAGTAAGGAATTACCTCGGACGATTGACGTAACGATCAAGTATACGATAATAATCGTAGTTGAGTGAACATTCTGATGTATTTTTCTGTCACTTCTGTAATTAGAGAAATTCTTGAACATGCCGCCGAAGGAGAAGAGGAATTTCTACAAGGGAGAGGTAACAACTCTGGGTCAGGTTCCTACGTGGGTGGAATATTGGAACAAGAATAAGTCTAGTATTGCCATTAAGAGTCCTAAGAAAAACGAAGAAATCAATGAGGACTTGGCTAAGAAAATTTCAATGTGGCAAGGAGACATCACATCGCTTGAGATAGATGCCATAGTCAATGCTGCGAACTCAAGTCTATTGGGAGGTGGCGGAGGTACAGAGTATTTTCGATGAGAAATTTTACGTGTGCAAGACATGTAATATATTAATTGATGCAAATTGTTATCCAGTTGATGGAGCTATTCACAGAGGAGCAGGACCAAATTTGAAAAAGGAATGTGCAACGTTAAAGGGATGTCGAGTTGGCGAAGCTAAGATTACCGGAGGTTACATGCTACCGGCTAAATGTAAGCAATTTATTGAAGGGATTTAATTTAAAATAAACGTAGTGATTACTGTAGATCTCAATTTCCTTAAATGACATTTCAGATGTTATTCATACCGTTGGTCCCCAAGGTGAGAAACCAGACAAATTGAAGGAATGTTACGAGAACAGTCTGGCTTTGGCTAAAGAGAATAATTTGCGTACTATCGCGTTTCCATGTATATCGACTGGAATTTACGGATACCCGCAGAAACCAGCTGCTAAAGTAGCTTTAGCGACGGTGAAAAAATTCCTTCTTGAAAATAAGGATATTGTAAGATCGCATATATATATATATATATATATATTTAGCGAGTGTATAATCCTCTAGTGCTGCATATATAATTATTAATACTTACATCATTTTCTTCTATAACTTTACAGATGGACAGGGTTATCTTTTGTTTATTTTTGAAAAGCGATAAAGACATATATGAGGAGCTATTGCAAAAATATTTTGCTCTCGAATAAATAGATGCTAGTATCTACTTCTACCTTCGCAAAGTCTGCCAGATTTAGTATGACGATGTTTCTCTTAAGGTTGTATTTCATTGGAAAATATTCATATAAAATATTAATATATACTACATTATGTATCCAAGATGACTCTCATGATATCCCCTATTCTATTTCTAAGACGTCTTCTATTTCTTCTATTTCTTAACTACGTCAGATTCTCATTTCACTATTGAGAGATAAATCGCACAGAGAATGAGAAGAAATGATAAAATATTTAACCGTTCCTCGCGCGCGCATGCAAAAAAGTCAGAATACCAGACCGTGCAAAAAAAATTACTTTTAATTTTCTTCAAAACTTCGTATGTACGAGCTTCAACTTCAAGCTTTAACTATACAACACCGCATCATAGGCTGTATTCAAGGAGCGCGCTATCAGTGCTATTGCGCCATTCTACTTTTATCGCTCACTAGATTTAAAACAAGGATACAGTGACGCAGTTGCTATTGATAGCGTGTACTCCAAACTCAGCCATTGTTTTACTAATTAAGCTGACAAAGGTTCGTATTCTGAGTTTATCTTTACCGATAAAAGTGCCTTAAATACGGCCTCTCACTCAACCAGGTGGCTTCTAAGCCACTTTTAGAAACACTTTCACCGGTAAAAGTGAGCTCAGAATACCAAAGTCCACCAAAGAAATTTGTTGCGTGAAGTCGTCACGCGACGCCTCGGATGATCCAAACGCGGGATATAATATCACCTGTTACTGCTCGTAATCGCACTCGGCTCTTCTTAATAATTCAAACGCCGGCGAAATATCGTCAACACGATGCGCGATACCGCAACGAGCGGAGCGCGTCGAGTATTTGAAAAGCGCGCGGCCGAATGAACGGCGGCGGTGCGCAGCCGCGGACTCGCGCCGACGCGCTGCGCGCCTGCGGGGCCGACGACGACGGCGCGTCGCCATCTTGAAAAATCGAAGTTCGGTGATGTCTGTATGTGGCGAAAGGTGGGGGACGGTCGTTAACGCGGTGCATCTCGGACGGAAAATCTGTCACAAATGGACGAATATCCCTGGCGCTGAGGCCCGCCCGAACGCGCCGCCGTAACGTCGCGTACTTTCCGCGCCCGTGCCGCGCGACACGGCACGCAGCAACACACTGCCTCCGTCGTCGCCGCTGTCACCGTCGTCGTCGTCGTCGTTGCTGCCGCAGCCGTTGTAACCGCCTCGAGCACACCCAAGGTGCTCCCCGCAGTCGCTCCTCGCCGATCTGCCGTGGCGAGGGTGCGCGCTCTTCCACGACCGCGAACGTACGCCCAGTGAGTAAAGTGAAGTACAGTGCGTGCCGCGCGAGAGAGAAAGAAAGGGAGAGAGAGAGGGAGATAGAGAGAGAGAGAGAGAGAGGAGTACAGTGTCGATAGTAACTGCGGCGGTGGCGATCGCGCCGGTGTATAGCTTCGAGCGAGCGTCATCAGGCGGGCGAAAATCGTGTGTGTGTCCGAGCGTCGCGATCGTGTTCGTGTCTTTCCGCGAAACGGACCTCCTCCTCGTAATCCCCGTTCACTTGAAACCGACGTTATTATCGTGCAACCGCGAGGGAAGTTCGAGCGCAACGGTGAACAAGCGTGGCGGGCGCACCGTAATGGGCGAACGGAACGTGCATGCGCTCGCAGTGTGAGCAGCATCATCTCGACCTCCTCATCGACCTCCTCGGACGTGCTCTCCGAGGACACGAAGAGGGACGGTGTAGAAAACGTGCTCGGAACGGCCGCGAAGGGAGAGATACCGCGCGGCGTCTCGTTCGGTAGACGAAGGAGAGAAAGAGAGAGAGAAGGACAGAACAGAAGAAGAGAGAGAGAGAGAGAAAGAGCCGCCACTCGATCTCCACGAGAGGCGAGACAAGGCGGACGTACGGACGGAGTCCCGTAATCCTGAATGGCCGCCGTGGCCGCTTTCTAGGTTACTGACGGACAAGCGGCAGAAGAACGAGCGAGCGAGGAAGACAGAGGAAGAGGCGGGCGTGAGTGAAAGAAAGGAGCGAGGACAAAACGGAGTTCGGTAGAGGTAAGAACGGCGGGGGAAGAGAACGAACGAGTGAGAACGGGCGAGCTGGCGAGCGAGCAAAAGAGAGAGAGAGAGAGGGAAGAAGGAGAGAGAGGGAGAGAAAGAAAGCGTTTATTAAGCGTTCGGCAAAGAATCCTTCCGAGCTCGCGAAAATCCGTACACAACAGTCGATATCGAATACATCAAAGCGTAAACAACGTCGTACTCGTAAACAGAGAGAGAGAGAGAGAGGGGTATGCGAGTAGAAAAGAGAGAGATTGCAAGTAAAAATATCTGAGAGCTTCGAACACCGAGGACCGACCGTCCGACCGATCGAGAGAGAGAAAGAGAGCGAGGTATAGAAGGAGAGTAAGAGGGGCATTATATAGGGGAAGAAGGACGGAGCGACACACCGAACGACCGTGAGCGCTCGCGAGCGCTGTCGCGCGGGCGCGCGCACGCACCCGCGACTCCGACACGACTCGCCGCGACTCCACCGTCTCCGATGTACGGCCACCATCGAGGAGGCACGCGAACATCGTGTTTCGGCGGTCTCTCTCGTTCTCGCCGGCGAAGCGCCGCCGCCGCCGTCGTCCGCGAATCGTCGCGCGCGTTGACGGAGATCTGAGTCGTCGGCATCGCTCCACCTGGTGCTGCCGCTACCATTTCCGCGAGAACGCGCGGATCCGCTATCGTACACCGTTACCAGCACACCACTACTATTGCTACTACTACTATCACCACCGCCGCCGACACCACCTTCGTCATCGTCCTCGTACGTCCTCGTGTCCGCCGACGTCGTCGTAGCCGAGGCCTCGCCTGTCCCGGAGAGCGCGTGTGTGTGTGTGGTGTATGCGCCGCTTCAGCCGTACCCAGCTCGCATGTATGCATCTCGACACGTATGTATTTATTATCAGTATATGAAAAAAGAGAAGAGAGAGAGAGAGAGAGAGAAACAGGGATAAGAGCGGTGGCTCATATCTTTTCTATACGCACATGCGTATATGGACATATTCGTACGTGTATGCCGTGCGAGAGAGCTACGCGTGTGCGTAGGTGAGTGCACGGTGTGTCCAAAAAAATTGGGTGGGGAGGGCGGTTAGCCAGCCGAGCTCGTCGCGAGGAGTCACTTCGCTTTTCTTGCTCCTCGGTTTCTCTCTCTCTCTCTCTCGATTTGGCTCCGAGGAGGCTTCCTGCCCCCTTCCCCCCGCTCTCCGCCCCTCTGTCTCGTTCGCTCTCGCCGATGCTCTCCTGTGATCGTATCCCCGCGTATCTTGGCCCGCTGTCCGTCGCCTTCCTAACCTTACATTTCCCTCTGTCACCAAGTTCGTCCCCGTTTCTACCCGCGTCGATTAAACCTTCAACCTGTTTAAAGTAAATCTTCCGGACAAAGACTTCGGGCTCTGAAGCCTTTAATCGACGTCGGTAGAAACGGGCGGAATTAGATCCTCTCCCCGCCCCCCTCTAGGGAGCGGCTGTTCTTACCTGAGCGTAATATAGATCTCGCGTCGAGTTCGACGTTCGTTGGTCTTCCCCTCGCGCGAGGATTTGCCCAAGTAACACGTGGATCGATTTTTCAAGTCGCGGGGATCCCGGTGCTAAGATTAGGGCGCAAGTACAAGCAAAATTGTTCCACCGTTGGCAAAGTGAAATGTTTAAGTCGAGTGTCATAAAAGTAACGCAATTACGCCGTGATATCGGGTGAGTCGCGCGTCCCACGTTTGCAGTTGAACGCGGTTGCCCTATTCTAAATATTAGCGTAAAGTTCACGCTCTCGGTTTTATTACCGAGCGTATTGAGAGAAGTCACCGAGCGCTCAATGCGAGATACGAAGATTCTATTAGCCGGAGAGAGAGAAAGAGGAAGAGAGAGAGAGAGAGAATCTTGCTCCCTCGAACAACGAATTCTCGAATAGGCACCCTAACCTAACCTAACTCCCTAGCCGACCTAACCTAACCTCCAAGGCGGACACTGAATACCGATGGTGGAATTCATTCGTGTAATTTAACGCAAGGTGAGAATCACGCGTTCGCGTTTAAACACCGCGGACGAGAATACAGAACGGAGATGACGGCAACTTTCGGGTTGTCGCTGCCGAGGAAGCGGAACGCCCGTTTCCGCCGCGTGCGTGTCGATTCGTTCGATCTGGGATACCGGCTGGCGATTATCGAGCGTCTCGTATCTCTCTTTCTCTCTCTCTCTCTCTCTTTCTGCTCGTTGCCGTGCCGTCGGCACGTTGCCATAATACCATTCGGCGACTCCGAATAAACTCGCGTCAAATGCGCTGTCGAAGGTGCATTAATGAGACGCTAAGTGCAACAATAGCGCAACCCACATTATCCCGCAGCAATGTAGCTTATAAATTATTAGCTTGTAGCCGTTAAAGCGTGAACTTCAAACGAGACAGTCGATTGACGTATGCCACCTCAGTCGTCCTATTTTTGTAGCAACTGCAATACTAGCGAGGAGCATCTCGAAAAGAATCTCCTATAAAGTTAAGGTCGACCGTTCTCTCTCTCTCTCTCTTTCTCTCAGAGGCATCCCTGAGTGGGATACATCGTAGAGGGCAATGCGACGATTCAATTTTTTTCCTATACTCCCGAGCGTATCCCTTTTATTAACGTAATAATAGCGTCGCGTAATATTGCGACGCGTCTCGCGGAATAAAAGTGAGAAATTTAATCTCCCGCGGCGAATCATCGGCAGCTGAACGGTCGCGTTTCAAAACGTAGCAAATAATCGTTGTAAAACAGACGCGTACGAACCGGCAGCGGAGGTATCGAAGCGTCGCGGCGTGCATCGAAATGTGTCAACGATAAAGAATAAATAGCAGTCGCTTTCCACTCTCCAAAATTACGTAGAAAGCGTCGGTTTAGAATCCGCTCTTATACGCCATTGTTTATGCATTCGCGCTTCAACGCTGGTCAACACACGTGATCGATACGCGATGGACGCGTAGATTCGCGGAGTCTCGTGCATTTCTGTTGCTCAACGTACAACAAGTCGATAATATCGTACACACGCGCGGAGAGCTCAGTTCGAGGGATCAAAGCGAGGGGAAGTGTCGGGAATTAATTTGAAAGTTACCGAATCATAAATT